AAACAATAGAAACTGTAAATTACATCAAAACAAGAAGTGTCACAATAAATAACAGGGCCTATCTCACAACAAGAACACATATTTTGTTAGTTCGGTAACTGCGTAACATTAGCTCGTCCTTCGGAGTTCACTGACATAAACAACAGTATTGTTCTAACCTAGGTAAGGTATGTGTCGTGCTAGGCGATAATATCTGAAGCGATATATAATGTTTCGTTGAAGTTTCTATCAAGAAAATAGGTTCTGCTGCTATTACTACTGTCGTTACGGTTACCGCTTCTTAGAAACCTGACAAATCCCAATGAGATTTTCCAGATTACAACTATTTAAGTTAAGAAATAGAAAGAGCGAATAGCCAAGTCATAATAGTTATTGGACGGGAATCGACACTGAGCAATTGTTTGTAGGCAATAGACTAAAATTCTAAGCGAGGCTGCGAACTGGCGAGAAACCTCTGAAAACTATAGCTTCCATTAATTCCTTTCTCCAGCCTAGCAGTTATTGTTTACACCGAAAAGACCAAATTGGTCCTTAGTATCGCAACATAGGTCTTTTACAGGACCTACTGAACTGCCATAGTGACAAAGAATATAAAATCAAATCCTCTGAATTATGTAGGTACAGCTTTCATACTTAAAACGGAGTCACTGTTTGCATCAAAAGGACCAAATTGGTCCTTGGTATCGCAAATCATAGGACACAGAGTTCAGTACACTACCAGCTAGATCTTCTGTATAACCAGAGATTTGCACCAGACCCCCCGGACGTGATACCCGTACATATTTACCCAGTAAATATATGAACTAACAGTGTTATCAGACTACGTTGTAAATTATATGATGCAGTATTTAAATGGACATGTTTGGCATTATCTCTGTTGCCAAGACGAGGAGCCTTAAAATGTGGAATTCGGTTAATTACGGAATTTTTCCGCTCGGGTCACGGCCGTTGGGTTGGTGATTTATTTTTAGACTAGTTTTCAGTTTTAGGTTTTCCTCGTTTTTTTTTAGAAAATCTTAATTGGTTTTATATCTTAAGTTCTTGTGAATTAGAACTGTTATAGCACTTTAGCCTTTAAGTTTAAGTCACTAGAAAAATTAATTAGACAACATAGTGAAGAGAAAAATAACTGAATAATTTACAAGGTTTTATTGATTTAAAAACGAAGAATTGGAAATACTTAAATATAGGGGTAGGACCATAAGAATAAATGGGTCTTTGATCATTACAATTCATTTCCCTTATGAATTATTTACGTAAATGCCCATATTTACGTAAATAACTACGCAAGATGACATGTTGGACACTAATGTGTCGAGAGATGAAAAAATTCAGGTACAGACAGAGGTAATTCTGCTCCCTATAATCTCTTGACTGCCGGTATATAAAACGCAATAGAAAATGCATTGTGTCTTGCGTAAATCTATATAATACTACTGCTAATGGGAATGTAAAATTATAAATAGATGCACGTTACTTCTAACTGGAAAACCTAAAATTCATCAAGGCAGACCTATGACCAGCAGTAGATGTCTTATGGCTGATTTGACGATGATGGTGATAACTAAAATAATGCAAGCAGTCAAATCATTTGTATTAATTTTACTGTGATGAAAAGCAGCATTTTTTTTAAGGGGGGAAAATCATCGTTTGACTGCTCCCGCCTGGGTGAGGCGGAAGGGAGTGTCAGACTCTTACTGACTAAAAACCACCCCCTTCCTTCTCCTGCACGTCGAGCCGGAGCCCCGGTTACCCGTTAGGTTCACCGCGACGATGAAAAGCAGCATAATGCAGTGTCGCATAGTTCTACATTGTTGCTTAGGTACCTCTAAATACCAGACATAAGTGTACACACAAATAGACAATTATGAACTAGTTTAAACCGGTATATAGTAAGTTATAGTATTACTGAAACAGGTGCAAATTAGTTATTAGACTTACTGACTGACACGTGGTACCTACAGAAATTTCCTAGGCAAGTTACACTATAGTAAGTTCTATCCGGTGTATATTGTCTGTGGCGGATTCCAAGTACTACCAAGTATTGTTAATACGATCAATATTACAGGATTGCATAGCATCTTATTAATAAATGGTGTTAATGAATTGTAGCATTTTAGTATTTAGGTTTTGTGTGTGAAATCACAATTAAGTATATGAGTAAATCTGAGTTGTAAGCGCTGTTCTGTCTACAGTTGCTCTCATGGTTGACTGGTTGTATTATAAGAGTTTGAGATATATTTTGGCATCATTTTGTATCAATTTGCTGCAAATTCAATAGGTCAAGAGAATGTTAAGGACAGCAGTATAATTGCACGTATATCTTAGTGCTACTACAATTCTACCTAGTGAAATGGATCTGTACAAACGTCATTTGACATTCTCACGAGACAAAGATATTTGCATAGTATAGAGTAGATTAAAGCTAATAAAATAAATATAATAAACTTTTTTTTAATTAGACATTTTCGTTAATTACATACAGAAACTACTATTTCAATATAAAAAATAGTGCCAATATGTTAAAAAATATAAGCAAAATAGTTTAAATAGGTCTCTAAAATAATTAAGGAATATTAACTGCTTTCTCGAAGAGATAGGTAGATTTGATCACACATTTTTACCTACTTGTAGTAAGATCGTTTCATAGTCAGAAGGAAAGGTTGTGAGACATATTACAGGTATATACATATTACAGGTACTAGAGCCACAAGCTAATCTATAGACCCGAGCACGATCTGGGAGGCTAAATAATGCAAATTATCTTATACTGAACAATTACGCTTGTGACCACAAAAGAACAGACATAAGTTTCGTAAATTTTCCAAAATGAAATGCAAATAATTCTGATAGACACCTACCGCCCACCAGCAACTAAAAATACACAAAAAATACACAGGAGCCATCAACTAGACATGCGGATTAAAAGACCAAACAATCGCACTATATTTGCCAAAGGCTACATTCTCCGCAAATAGCCCACAACAAGCTATCAGTGTACTTAGGTACACTTTCTAAGAGGCTGTAATGATGACTACGAAAAAGAGATAATTTTGTGACGTATTTCACACAATATATAAGGACGGGAGACCAAGATACAGATACTATTAGGAGACGCAAGTACGCCAAGCAAGCAGTGTGTGGGATCGGAATTAATTGACTAAATTATTACAATAGATATTGGATATTTTTGGTAAGGCTGCACTGCATATTAAGTGGAATATTTATAATAAAAATTTTATTTACAAAAAAAAATTGACTTTTTTGTCTGAAGGAGAAGAATATATGAAAAATTATGGAAAAGTCTCCACAATCATAAAACAATGTTTTTTAAGAAGAAAAATAGTGACTGGGTGACAAATTGAACTCTAGTCACCCGCCCAAAGAGTAATTTTAAGTCTTGAAAGTAGCAATATTATTAAGAAATCTTTAGCGATAGCGGTGAATTTATTCACTAACTGAAGTCAAATTTTAAATAGTTTATATTCTACCTAATTATTATTTTACAAAATTATTCAATTCGTACTCCACTTAAAAAAATCGAGCTGAAGTCTTTCTCTAAATTGTACATAGTACAGGCGTTATTTAAAAATTCAGTAAGATAATTCAGATGAAAAGTCTTTCTGAGAAGGTAGTCAGATTCTTTACAATATCGTTTGACTCAATTTTATAACAAAAACGATAGTCTATTTATTCTACATTCACCACAACAAAAAATTTTCTAATTTCGAATTTAGTCAATGAAATTCGTCTACCAATTTTTCTCTCTTCTATCGTTGTCCTTACTCCTAGAGACCATGTTAACTTTGCATCCAGCAAATTTTCTGGATTTTGCCAGTGGTCAATTCCCTTATTAAGTGCAACACTGATTGGTAAAATCAGTTCTCTAAATACTTAGACCACGTCTTTCGAATTTTTCTTTTACCTTCCATCTTACTGATTACAAATCAGGTCTTCTAACTAATCCTCAATAAATAATGTTCTTGCTATTGACCTCTGTCTGTCTGTCAGAACCTTCACAATCGTAACTTCCCAGACTCAATTTACAGAAGATAAACTTTATATATAAATTCAAGGTTCCATTTGATGCAAGTTCATTATCACCTGCCGTAGATACGTACATACATGTAGATACACGTAGACACTGCATAATGCAAGAGATAATAAAGATGTCTCTAGTTAAAACAACCAATTGTTTGCAGATCCAAAAATGTGTAAGAAAGCAACAAGAGAGGTTGAGGTGGTGGAGACTGGGAAGAAACAGTATGCAGCTTCTGTTGAAGAAGCGTTAACCATGACAGGTAAGTTTCCTAAGACCATAAGATATAATATCATTTAAAACCAATAAAGAATTTGAATCAAAGTTGGTTGTTAAGCCCCGAGATGATGGATGATACACCTTTACAGCTCTCTACCCTACCCACATTAACCCAGTAGTTCAGCAATTTTGTTGAATCAACTAGTTCAATGGTTCTATTTACTCTATTTGAAAGATATATACTAGTACCATTACATCTCTAATCAAAATTGATCCTTGAATCCTTTTTCTTAGGTTTCGGAAAGTACAACTTTGGATTACTACTGGTATGCAGTTGGACGCTACAGGCTATGGGGATGGACATGTTTGGCAGCAGCTTTGTGATAGCTGCTGCTCACTGTGATCTGGAACTGACGTTACAGCAAAGAGCTTTACTTACTGCCATGCCATTACTTGGTAAGTTATCTTTATACTTTATAGCGATTAAATTCTACATTAGCAAATTGTTCGCTATTATCAAGTACTTTTTCTTCAGTTTCTCATTGTTATAAGTCTTTCACTGTACTTTAATAATCACGACAGCCAACAATAATTATAACGTCAAATAAAATAAAGTGAGTATTTTCCGATTTGGTCCTTTAAGCTTACATTTGATCCTTTGAGTCTCTAAGGTTTTGTAAGTAAAATAATGCCTCTTACGATTGTTCTCTATACTTTCAGGTGTGGTAGCAGGAGCTCAATTATGGGGTTACGTGTCAGATACCAAAGGAAGAAGGCTAACACTGGTACTGTCTATGTCAGTAGGCTTCGTGTTTGCAGCGCTCAGCAGTCTATCTCCAAACTGGCAGACTATGGCGGTCTCAAATTGATTTCTTCTATTTTGTAAGTATTTGTTCTATATTTATCACTCTAAAAATATTAATCATCAAAATTGAGTATAAACAATCCACCATATATCTTTAACTTCCTAGATTATAAAAGTTTCATTTCCGTTTCCTTTTGTTGAGTATGTCGAAGGAAATTAATGGTTTTCATCTTCGAAAACTTTTCTTTCATAGATTCTTATTGAGATAAGCAAAGCAATTTTCACCAACAAGATGACTAGCTAAACAAACAAAATTGTAACGCCATCACCTATGGTTGTCCAAATATTGTTCACATTCGAATCTCATTTTCCCACGTTATCTGGAGCATGTGACCAAATAAGAATACGTTTTAGATAACACATACAAAAATAGAGGCAAATAATACCTTTAAATAACATTAGTCGTGGGCAATGGAAAATTACCAACTTTACCTGATATGATTAACAATTAATGACGACAAAGAATTGTAAAACTTTCCATCTTCATTTTCGGTCTTTATGGTCATATAGTACAGTTATAAGAAGTTGACTTGAAAAGGATAGATAAAAATTTTGGGTAACAAAGTACCTTAAGATACATGATTCCATAAATATAAACACCGTCTAATATACCTTCTTGATCCCTTGAAAATCCCGTTAAAAAATCACAACCAGTCAATGATATATAGATGACACAAAACAAACATGAGTGACGACATACGTATCGTGATCGTGAAAATTTACATCATGGAAGTAGCGTTAGTTATCTTATTATGCAAAGTTTTCCGAGTAAGTATTTGTACGATGATAATAAAACCCCCTGGCGAGACAAAGACAAGATAACTACTGAATAAACTTTCTCAGTTCTATAATAAGAATGTCAATATGTTGCTGGTGGCGCGATTTCTATTTACTTTTCTTTGTACGGGATACTGACCTACCGGAACTGGATTAATTTTCGACTTCGGTCTTTAATGACTTACAATCATTGCTTATAGTAGACTATTGCATTGCGTTACAAAGCTAAAGATTAGAAGAAGGTTGATACAACACCAATTAACTTTCGTACTTTTATATTCATCTCTTTTTCATCTTTATGTGATAACGTCAAGAATATACCTTCACCATAGGTACTTATGAGTTTTGGTCCTTTGTCCCCAGCACTTCAGCCAGTAACTCAGGAGCATACACACTGTTGGGAGAGAGCTGTTCTGAACGCGCTCGTGGACGCGCCATGTTGATGTGCTCCTGCGCACTCATGTGCTCCCAGGCTACTGTTGCAGGTAAATTACCACTTTATAACAGCTAAATGTACTTCATAACATAACTGGTGATAAAGGAATGTTCTATTTTGTAATACTTGTTATTATATCTAAACATTGTAAGATTTTCACTTTTTCTAACGATAAAGTTTTACTTTTTCACAGTGATGGCTTACCCAATCCTACCCCTGGACTTTGCGTACCACATCGACTTCCTTGGCGTGGTGTACCGACCCTGGCGTCTACTAGCCTTCATCATGGCTCTGCCATGTGCGTTCACCGCTTGTCTTCTGCAACTCTTCTACGAGAGCCCCAAGTTCCTCGCTACTCACGGACGTTATGAAGAGGCTTTGCAAGTCCTGAAAAATATTTATGCTACTAACACTGGCAAGGATGCTGATAGCTTCCCAGTAAGTAGACATTAGAAAGTTCAATATGATAAAAGTATTGGATTACTTTAAAAATATCAAAATTATTTTGTACTTATGTCAATATTTTACAATAATTTCTTCTTGGTCCTTTGGTCCTCATTCAAATGTTACCATTAAAATTGTTATAATTAGAAACTTGTTAGAAATATAAAAGGTTTTAATCAATCCCAATCTTCTTCCAGGTTCAAAAGCTTCAAGAAGATACTGAGAATAAGACTACTGAAGTTAAAGAATCATTCTTAAAATCGGTGTGGCAGCAGACAGTACCGTTGTTTAAGGCTCCCCTGCTGAAGGAGACCCTCAGGCTCTTCTACCTCGTCGCTGTTATTTATATGACGTAAGTAATAGAAAATGGACTTTATGGTCTTCTCTTTACACTTCACTTTACCCTATCAGATCTAGCTTTTCAGACTTGGAATATGCCTATGTTTGTTTACCATTACCTATTTTATTTCCAGTGGCAGCGGCTTCATCCTCTGGTTGCCTTACATCATGAACAATCTGTTCTTCGTACTGGAGTCTGGTGGCGGTGAGGGCATGAACCTCTGCGCTATCATCGAGTACCCGTCAGCTGCTGGCTATGCTACTGGAAACATAACGGTAAGAGCTGTAAACATATTTAAACTTATCATTATTAAATACTTCGACATTCTACGTTTTTTTTATTTTTAAAAATCGCGAAATAAAAGCACACTTTGGAATTATAAAACATTTATTGACAATAACAATTCCTTTTTCAGACTGTAGAAGTATGTGACGACACGATCCAGGACACTACATTATTCTCCGCGATGACGTATGGTGCCATGGCGAGCTGTTCCAACGTGGTCCTTTCACTAACATGTGGAAGTCGCAAGCGTATGGCCATGATCTGCATCCTAGCGATGTCAGCCATCGCCGCCGTCTTGCAAAATGTGGTAGCTGTTCCATTGGCTGGAGGAATCTTCTTCTTCTTTTTCCTCATGTGCGCGCTCTCCATGGGCATCTTGAGCGTGTACTTCGTTGAGCTTTACCCGACTTCTTTAAGGTTAGTACCAAAAAATGTGACAGATTAATGAAGCTTGTTAAAAGAAAATAGAAAAATATAAATGATACATTAAACTGACTTCAAACACGACTGACAAGAACAAATAGGGCTCAAAATGTTCCTACTAGTTATTTCATAACTTTCGACTACAAAACAGCCTACAGTCAAAAGTAAATTAATTAAATGCATGAGCAACGTATAGCCCAACATTTAGTTGCTATACCGCCTCTTTAGACAAAGTTACATAAGATCATAATTACGCGCGTGCCAGGCATATTAATCGATTAAAAGAAAACAAATAAAGAATATTACAGATACGAACACATGTTCATTATCTTCGATTAATAATTTCATTTGTCATCATTAAATGACAAAAAAGACGAAGATTTTTGAATTATGAAAGTCACTGTAAAAGGCCTTACGCATTAGATCCGAATTGTAACCGTTATAAAATTTCTTTATTTTCTAAATGTCTTATTTACCATAAAGAACCTATACCAAAGAGTATAATAAGAATAGGGGAAGAGCCTTAATCAAATGCTTTGAAAGCTTTATGAGGGAAACTTTAGGGACTCGGATGAATTAAAAGAATCGTTGACTTGAGAAATATTGTTTCCTATACCCCATGCGAGTATCTGGATAAACTTATAGACATGTTTTTTACCATTTTCGTTATTACATACTCCAAAGTAATGTCAACTTTTACATTCATAGATACTTTATTTTTATTTATAAACAACTTAACTGGTGTATGACATTCAACATAAACTATTTTATTACAGAGGTATGGTATCCTGTCTATCAGTGATGCTGGGCAGGTCTAGCGCCTTCCTTGGAGTGAACGTGATAGGTGCCCTCATCTCGAACAGCTGTGAGGCCACCTTCTACGGCTGGTCCCTCTTATTATTTAGTAAGTTGTCTTTTACTATTTATTTTATCTTTTTCTTTATTTAATCGTCGAAATTTAGGCATTTTTATTTTTTTTATTTTCTTTTTATTATTACTTGACATTGGTTTCTTCAAAAGTATGCCTCTACTGAACTCCGCGAGGTAGTAACTTCTAACACTCTACCTTTTTAGACTTTGTATCTTCTAATGATAAAATTGCACAAAACAAATAATTCTTATGTAACGTGTCAATATCATATCTAAGTCATAAATAACTTGATTACAGATAATAGTAAAATTATAAGTTACCTTATATATTTTATATTTTTATGGCGTTTTTCTTTATGTTATCGATGATAACGTTTATTCAGCTCTGCTTTAAGTACAAGTACAGCACCCCCTCAGACTCTGAGTACTCAAAGGTCGTAATTTTTATCGGAAGAATAAAAACAGTAATAAACTTTTTAGAAGCGGTTTTTACTTGTAGATCAAGTCAAGATATGATTAATTTCGTAAAACCTATCATAAAACGAGGTGATACGGTTATTGATCACTTGTACTGTACCTACTGACCGAATGAGCAGTCGGTTTCGTCCGGTTATGTCACCCGGTTTTAAACCGTAAACCGGATAGTGACGCCAATTAACATTTACAATTAAAGACACGCCTTAATTCAAATCTAGACTGTCTATCTAATTTATGATGATCACGAACCAATGACTAGCAAATTATTTATCATCAGTTGATTAATGATAATACAAATGATCTCTAAACATTATTAATCATTACTAAAGACTAAGACAGTCATCAGAATTATAAACTTAGTTTGGAAAAACCAGATGCTATCTATCTATCTACCTACTTAGATATGTATCTATAGTGAATACAGCATTAATCGAATGTTCATCATTTGATATTGATTTGCAAACTCCAATTCGACTCCCAAGCGTAGAGCAAAACTCTTTGGTAGTGGAGGCCCATAATCGAATAACTGTTGATGTGTGTGATATTAAAGAACTATTATTAACGTTTCTTTTCTACTCTTTACAGGTGCAATAGTAGTGGCATGGTTCCTGCCCAAAGACAAAGCACCTAAGAAGTAAAGATTCAACCATCTGACTGGATCTACTGAAGACTGAACTAAATCTACTCTTACTTGTACATAATGAATGAATGAAATGAACGATGTATGTTAAATGGTACTGACTGACTGAACATATTATTAAAATATAGTTGTTATGTTTATATTTGCTACAAAACAATAATATTTTGTAATCGTTAGTGCCATAAAGTTTATAGTTTATGATTGTTAAGGGATTAATGTAATCTTTGTTATCTGTGGCTTGTGATTCCCGCGCTTTTGTCACAAGTTTTATAGGTACAGGGTCAAGACTGCCATCTAGCGGACATTTGAAAGTTACGTTTTCTTTTCTTGGTCCATTTATTGTTTTTAAATTAATAACGTACCTGACACGGCCAATTTAGTTAGTATATAATATTAAGAACATTTTGTTAAGTATAGTTAGTAATATTTTCTCATAGTTATAGTACCTAGTTAAGATAAGTTACTGTATAAAAATATTTTCTTAAATAAACGTATGTAGTTTAAAATACATTTTGTTTTTTTTCCACATATTTAATGCATATAAAATAATATACAAGGTGTTGTTTTAAAGCCGCGTCATTTTCTAGGAGGTAACGATTCTAGCCTATCGATTTTGAGTCCGAATCAATATTTTTTTTTTTCATTTTTAACTAGCTTTATTTCGTGGCTCAACACACAAACTCAAACACGTAATAATATTATTCCTAACTCCATAAAACTCCAATAAGAAACATGGATGTGTATTATTCTGAAATACTGTCGAACTTAAACGATTTATTATAGCCGTATTTTTAACTATTGGCCCGAAATTTTCTTTTACATTGAACCTTTATGACTTCTGTGACATGCCCCCGAGAAATGCCACAGTTTCAAAACTACACCTTGTATAATATGTTTTATTACACTTCTTAATTAGTTTTTTTTTCATAAAATGGACAGACAAAACTTTGTTAGCAGTGTTAAGAAAACAACTATTTTCTTTTTTTCATTTAAGTACACAAACCTTTTGCCTGTACTACTAATTAATCTTCGCCTGTAGATTCAATTATTTAATTAGCTATATTTATCATATTAATTCTAAGATAATTTAGATACCTCCGACAAATTGTGAAGGAAAACATCGTGAGGAGGAAACCTAGGCTAAAAATTTCTAATTACAAGTTTGAAATCGCCCACCCGCACCTTTTCCGTGGACTTTTAGTCAGCAGTGACCACATACGCTGTTGATATGATCGTATTATTTATTATTTATATACTGTTCCAAAACTGGAACAAGCTTGTTTAGCTAATGGCTACATCCAGTTTAAATATACCTACTAAAGGTACTACATGTCTTTCTTTTTTAATTAACAGCGTTGCTAGCTGTTGTTAGTCAGGACCTACTAAGTATATAGTTTTTTATTCTGCAAAAGCCCTTTTATGTTAAGTTTTAGATTTGAATGAAAAATGCCACAAATAAAATAACATAATAAATTCGTTGACACAGGCAAAGAGACGCATTCACAACAATTTTGGTTGTTGACGTATGAATATAAGACTCAGATTCCAACAATCTATCTTTTCCTCTTTTACGCATGTAATTCTAATTATCGGATTATAGGTACAATACCAATTATTTAAATCACGTCACAGATTTATATCTATTATGATCGAATTACTGCTGCTATCGTAACTAAATATTCTCATACGTTAAGAAATCAGTATCAGGCTTAAAAACTACCTAATTGATATTTTAATCAAATATCTATTAATTCTGTGTACCTATCCATCTATTTATCTACTCGTGATGTTTATTATAAAATGTTAAGTGACTTACCTGACTTAGTTTTCAAATTCAAATTCAAAGCGTTTATTACGAATATAGGTCAAGCGTAAATATTACAGAGTTAATATAAAATAATTTGATCAGCTACATTCTGCCATTTAGCATGCAATATTGTGAAAATTACAATTACTCTTATTATTGATTACATAATTAAAATTAGTATAGTAATGATACACTTGTTTCACTTTGGAGAAGAGCCACTAGCCTTTGTCGCGGAGAACCTAACGGGTTACCGGGGCTCCGGCTCGACGTGCAGGAGAAGGAACGGGGTGGTTTTTAGACAGTAAGAGTCTGACACTCCCTCCCGCCTCACCCAGGCGGGAGCGGTCATTCAATGATTTTCCCCTCTTAAACTGTCAAACACCAAGCGGTCACCGGTGACCGCGACCTATTGTTCTTTAATTGTGTCTACAAAACCGGTACTCGACGAGTTAAAAAAAAAAAATTTTTTTTACATTTTATCGAACCCTTATATTTGGATTATGAATTTGAGGATTCAGGGATTAAGGAAAGGGGGGGTGGGGGTAATTGGGCATCCGGTAACCTCACTCACACGACGAAACACAACATAACGTTGTTTCACGTCGGTCTTCTGTATGGTCACTCGTCTGTGGTGTCGGTGAGTCAGCCGTCCCATCGGACTCAAAAAGTGAGGGAACAAAGAGAGCACCTGTGTTTGCGCACACACTTGTGCACTATAATATCTCCTGTTTTATGAGCTTGCCACCATGATCGAAATCGATCAGAAAGGTCTATGATCATGTTTATATAAGTAAGTTGTTAAGCATAATATCGGGAAAACGGCTAAACAAACAGATGGAACACGTGACGATATCAGAGGGCTTAGTACGAGTTTCTTTTTCGTTTAAAGTAATCGAAACGAAACCTCGTCCGGCGCTCTGATTGGTTGGTTCTTTGGAGCCGGCCAATCAGAGCACTGAACGCGTACTCGTAAAGATAAAGAGTATCTATTACTTTCAACGTAAAGCAAACTCGTATTGAGGCCTCTGATCAGCATCCCCCGAAAATTACAAGTGCGTCGCCAACTTTTTTTTAGCGTTTTTCAGTAACTATTAATCTATTTTCTGTGACTGAATAGTCAAGAGAGTATGTAGAACTGACTAGAGATGACTTTGGAGTACGAAGTCTACGGGTACCTCTTCAATACCCCCAAAGCAGAGTACATCAGAAAATGATGTCTGTTATCAGTTTATCAGCTATCAGAATATGAGTTAACAAACTCTCTACAATGCACATTTATTTACAGCTAGCGATAAATGTTATGTTAAAAATTGTTATCATTTTAGATATTTTTTTAATTATTATTTGTGTTTGAACAAGTATTTTCGTGTTTGAACAAGTTAGTTATCTACTCTAATATGATATCTAGAACCAACATTTGAAACAAATGTTTGTTCATCTCTCATTACGGCACTTAATGCAATTGTACAATTTAACACCCACTTTTTATTTATGTTAAGAGTCTCATGTAATAGTGGTGAGCCTACTGCCATATACCGGGCACAAATCCAGATTCCGTGAACTGAAGATTTTTAGAAACCCGTTAGTACTTTGTCCAACCCGGGAATCGAACCCAAGACCCCTTGCCCGACAGTCGCACTTGCGACCACTCGGCCAACGAGGCAGTCACTAAGGACTTACATGACCTAGGTACCTACTCATTTACCTATATAGATATTATATTCCCTTTAATAACAGATCACTAACCATTAGCAGATTAGATTAAGTTATTATTTAACCACTGATAATACTAAATTATCACCAGAAACGTACATACATTTATATAGAGTATATAAGAAACACGTGAACACGAGATTTTATCACATTATCTACTCATATATGTATGTACATATTACGTAGTATTTTTGCAAACAACTTTGTCTTAATTAAGAATTATTTTATTTATCACTTACTAGCTACTTCACTGTTTCACCCGCTCTGCTCAGCCCAATTGATCGTAGCGTGATGTTCTATAGCCTTACTCGATTAATAAGCTATTATGCTATCCTACATAAAAGGAATTGGTCAAATCGAATCAGTAGTTCCTGAGATTAGCGCTTTCAAACAAACAAATAAACTCTTCAGCTAAATGTAATAGTACTAGCTACTTCCGCGCGGTATCACACACTCTGCTCAGCTCCTATTGGTCGTAGCGTGATGTTTTATACCCTATAGCCATCCTCGATAAATGCGGTATCCAACACAAAGAGAATTATTCAAATTAGACTTGTAGTTACGGAGGTTAGCGCATTCAAACAAACAAACAAAAGATCAAACTCTTCCGCTTTAGTATAATAGTATAATCGACTATAAGATAAGGGTATAAGATAAGATTTTGCCTATAGTTTGCTTCTATTACGGTAATATTTGAAAGGTGTATCGTATAATGTCATTCGATTTAGGGTCAATAAAAACAAGTTTCAACGGACTAGGCTCCAAAAGGTTTCGCCTTGAGCTTAGGACGTATTTATAAGTATTTAAAGTAAGAAGGTATACCTACCGTATACTCGTTTACTAATGATTACGTGCATATATTTATATTATAACTATCGTGAGGCATACTAAGTTAATTGTGATGTTTTCTGCTTACTCGCGTAATTATTTAAATGGGAACTCGACTGGTTTCGAGCCATGTTTGAGGCTTATATGCATGAGCAACATTCCGTGACCACCGACGCGGCGGCTATCGCGAATGCTGTTTGAAAAACATAACAAGTAATTAGGTGGATAAATAAAAGTATAGCCTATTATCAATATTTTAATATTTCAGTTCAAATTCAAGGGCTCATGAGGAAATGATGCACATTTTAATGTAACACCCACTTTTTTGGCAATTAGTAGCTTCTTCTACTTCATTTCTTCAACTGAAGGTCGTGTCTGCATATGGAATCTATCCCTAAGGTCGGTCGCGAAGAACCTAACGGGTAACTGGGGCTCCGGCTCGACGTGCAGGAGAAGGAACGGGGTGGTTTTTAGTCAGTAAGAGTCTGACACTCCCTCCCGCCGCACCCAGGCGAGAGCAGATTCGATGATTTTCCCCCCTTCAAAAAAAATCCCTAATGTCGGTCCCATAGCCCCCATAGTTTCTTTTCCCTAACTCCTGTATGAATTCTTCCATTATTTAGGTGTTAAATATATAGGTTTTAGGTCAA